TTCTGTAAATGGTTCTTTCCTAAATTAGGCCTTTTGCTGCCAGCGACATAGAAAGGGGGTAAGGTCCTTGCACAATTGATGAGTCTTCCTCTTGCTACAGCATTGCGAGAGGGAAAAAAAAGGCACAGCAGTGCTTGTTCTCATCCAGTAACACTCCTGAATGCGGATTAAAACATGTTAGCATCACGTCGTAACAACAGTAATAGCGACCCAGTGGTTCCCTGATAGTAATAATTGTGTTCGTGAGTTTCACCTGCTTCATTTCCCTTAAAACGCAGTGATCAATCAACATCGAGACTACAGTATAAGGCTAACAGCGAAGAAATGCCTTCAATTAGACTGAGTGGGAACATGGTGTGACTGCAGTACCATCTGTCAGAAATGAGAGGGTTGGTGGGAGCGGGGATGGGTGGGTGGCTGGGGGGGGGGGGGGTGAGAGAAACTGGAGGCAGGAACGCGATGCAAACCGCAAACCCATTTGTGTCAAGAAAATTCACATCAATCTTAGGTGAGCAATTGAGGAGACGGATCTCCTAACATCTCCGCTGCGCGTTGTTGGCAAACACCTGAGGGAGATAGAGATTAAAAATGCATAAAAAAAACACGGGAGCAAAAGAGAGTCAATGTTAAATTCAGACTAGACAAGCTATTGTTTGAGGACCGTGATCTACTGGAAAGAAAGACTGTTGGGAAATTGCTCTGAATGTCTGAAAAGCATCTGTTTTACTGACTAAAATTCGCCATTCAACAACATCTTGTATTTACATCGCGCCCTTCACGTTAGTGTCTATTTATTGAACTTCCTCAAGTGTCGAGGGGAATTTGCTGGAGTTGAATCAATCGATGCACTGTGCTAACTAACTCCCACAGATTTCCCACGTTTTATAAGAATCTTTGCATGTGATATAGCGCCTTATCATGTCTTCTAGACGTCTCAAAGTGCTTATAATCCGCATAAGCCTCTCCGTAAGTGTATGTTTCGACGTCATACAGATCATTTAACCTTGATATCTATAATATAATCCTTGCATATGACACAGCACCCATAACGTCACAACATCACAAGGCACAACAGATTTTCTCTGTAGTGTGGTGACTGCATCCGTAGTCTGACTCAACATTCCACGAACAGCCATGAAGTGTTGTTATATTATTCACCCCCATGGGAAAGGTTTAGATATGATTTATATTGCAGCTAAGTTTGACACTGGACAGGAACTTGAGTTAAAATTGTAGAAACACATTTTGGTCAGGACCATTTAGGAACTGTTTATCGGAGAGATAAATATGTTCAGAGAAAAGAGGCTCACTGAGCATAAAATAAATAAATCTCCTCGAACCATGCATGCAAAATGAGTCAAATTAAACCAGGGAACAATTGACTTTCACAATAAATTGCTGGACCACTAAGAGGCTTGCTGTCCCCAGGGCAAGGTAGTAGCAGTCAAGAGAATTGTACGACAAAGTAAATGGGCAGGTTGGCACGTTCTTTGTGGAGTCCCCGTAGCGTATCGGTTAGAGCTCTCGCCTCGCAAGCGAGGACTCGGATTTGATTCCCAGGCCGGACGAAAACTTAGGCAAGTTTCCTTACTCCACACATGTGCGCCTCGGTTTACCCAGCAGTAAGTAGGAACCCGGTCGTTAGTCAATTGGCGGACTGCTTTCCGGGGTAATAATCCCTCAAAAATATAATAACAACGTGGTCACTCAATCCATGACGGTTTGTGGGACACTCCTGGGTTCAATTGGATGCCGAGTTTTCGATTTACTTTACAGTGTATTCTGTGTAGCGCTTTGAGATGTCTCAACGATGGGATAAGGCGTTCTATCAAATGCAAAAAGTATTATTATTATTACACACCCTTCCGGAACATGCTGCATCAAGACAGGACCAGGTTCTTAACATGATGCAATCCAACAAGAAATGCTTCAACTGCAACTTTCGCACGTGGTTCCTTCCTAACAACACAAACAGGCTGCAAAGACGATAAGACAAATCGTCACCGAGACAGCCGAACGTCAAAGCACACTTTAAATCGGAATGCACACTGTGCAACCCAGCGATTATTTGAAGCCTCCCCTCCCTCCTCTCTGGTTTAAGTAACCATTGCTCAGCAGAACCGTGTATCGGCTTTATCTCCCCTTAATTTGCTGACTGTGGTTTTACTTTTGACGAGTTTACTATTCGCAATGATTTCATCTTTAAAGATGCATTTACAGCATTTTATCCAGCACCCATAATAATTACAAAAGGCTGCACGATGCATCATAATTATAGTGCAAGGAGCTGTCCGCTCGGTTTTACTCAAATCAACGCATGGTTCCTGCCTTCGTCTTAAAGACAAGTTTCTCCGTCCCGCCCCTCAATCACGCCTGTAATATCCATTCGGACCACGTTAACCGCACCGGAATTTCCCCAGGTTGAGAGAGAACAACAGGGAGGTTCCTTGGAATTTTGCACTTCGCTGTAGTTTGTGCGTACGGAGCTTCAGTCGAACGCATTTTCCACTTTATCTAAATCGAAATCCCTCTCACTCCACGTGTCATTAGAAGAAAATAATCCGCGCCTGTCCTCAAAGACCTAAGATTAAAAAAACGCGAGTCACGGGAGCGCGGGGGGGGGGTGAGAGGGTGGGGGGGAACGGGAGGCCTACCAACCCACCCAGCCTAGTTTTAGATCTCAGCCCATCTTGAATCATTTGTACCGGTCTTCTGCAACCCCATGTCTGCAGAGAGCTGGCTTTCATAGAGCGCGATTGTTGATTTACTAAGTTTGCAGCACATCACTGGATTTAAGCTCCCAGCTTCTGGCAACGCTCCGAACATTTACTTGCAATAGTTTTGACCTTACTTACATTTGCCGCATTCAGAACGGCAACGCTCATATACGTAAGGTAGACTGCGGAGCAGTTTTCTACACGGGAGGAAAAATTAAGACTGCCACTGTTAATTGTTTTTATTAAGCTATTCAGATCTACTTCCATCTGATTTAAATCAGCATTTCACCAATTGTACGATCGAGCAGATCCAACCACAGTAGAGCCCGGTATAAAGGGACAAAACACCAAATACTTGCCTGCAAAATATATCACCGCACTTTCTACCGAACCACTTTGAAACATCCTATCGACATGAAGGCACTATATCAAATGCGAGGATTTGGTTTTAATTTCTTCCCTTTAGGCCAAATGCTCTTTTACTGCCAATTCACTTCACAGTATACTCTGTGAAGCACTTTGAGACGTCTCAACGACATAAGGTGCTATATCAAATGCAAGGATTATTATTATAATAATTTCAAAATATCCGCAAAGTACCATCTTACATATAAACAAAAGAAGCTACTGGTAAATTCATGATCTATAAGTGGCAGAACTTCTGAATCCACTGTGCAGAAATCACGATTTACAAAAATAAACTAATTGGGCTGAAGATCATATGAAAACTTGGCTGAAATGCTTCACTGAACTAACTGTGCAGCAAATGTCTGACAGAGCATCAGAGCGCGACACCCACCTTAATTTTAATCTTACGCAGCTATAATTAATATGAGATAAACATACTTTTGTGCACGACTCAACGCTGGGATTTCACTGCACTGTTCATGGCAGTGCACTCTGAAACGTACAGCAAAAACAGGGCTGAGCAACGCTATTTGGAAGGAAATCACATTGGAGACGCACTTAATGTTCAACTTTATTGCAATGTAAAAAGCAGAGGTGCAAATCAATTCCACCTCCAATCCCAAATGGTCCCTTGGAAGCTTCCAGCCACTCCCAAGAGACGACCAAAGTTTCAAGGGAGACTTTTAATTTTCTTCACAGGGTTGCATATATATATATAATATATATTTATATACCCACAAATATAGTCAATTCACTTTACAGTCTATTCTGTGAAGCGCTTTGAGACGTCTGGAAGACGTGAAAAGCGCTATATCGAATGCAAGTATTATTATTGTTGCAGATTCTGTGTTAAATACTGTACTGGTTGCTGGACAAACCTCTAATGCCTCGCTCAAGTGGTGGTTCTTCCATTTGAGAGCCTAGTCAAGGGTCAGCAACCTTTCGCTTCGGGTAGTTGAAAATAATAATAACCCTTGAATCCTTATCACGTCGGAAAGACGCCTCAAAGCGCTTTGTTGGAACGGGTATGAAATGGATCGGCAAATGCAACAGCACAAGTGCGCGCAGCAACATCCCACAAACAGCCATGAAACGAGCGACCAATTTTATTGTTGGGAACTATTGCCCAGGACACCCAAGAGAAACTCCTTTCTCTTTTCGAGCAGTGCCAGGGGGTTTTTAACACCAACCTGAACAGGGCAGATGGGACCTCGATTTGACATCTCATCCAAATGACAGCACATCTGACAACGCAACATCAACCCCCAGCATTGCACACTGAAGTGCGATCGTCAGACAATGCGAGATCATGTTTCGATGTGGATTTCAAACCCACAACCTTCTGACTCAAGAGGCGTAAAGTGTTACCAGAGCCAAGATGACACACAATGTATTATAGCTGATCCTAATCCTGTCCTCACATGCCATGTGCACACATTTTCCAGTGATTAGAAGCACAAACCCTGGCTGATTACCCCAGTTGTTGGGGAGGCCAATCGTATCATTCCAGCTGCTGGTTTGAGCACCAACCTAAGATTTAAACCTTTATTCTGCAGGTTTTAGGGCTAAAGTGACCATTTCCTTTATCCATCATGTCATCGGGGGACCTAAACCTTTTTCTTAAAAAAAATTCAAAGAACCAAATCACATCAAACATCAGCGAAAACCTGATTTGAGTTCTGCAATATTGGTATTTTGTTTAAACAGCCCCAAGCAATGAGATAAAAGGTAGTAACATAAATAAAGCTTCATGACCTGCACTGTTCTGCAAGCGAGACTTCCTTGGGCATTTTGGCTCAAGATATTTCAGAATATTCTCATTTAAGAAAACTTCCAATAACTGTGCCTGAAATAACACCACAAAAGCCATGCATATTTGAATAAAGCAATCTACATTTATTTATACAACTTTGCCAAGATTGGAATGAGAGATAAATAGAAGGCACAACCATACGCTTTACAATACAAACTAAACCAGAAAAAGTTTCTCTGCAATTTACAGTTTTAAAAAAAATTCACAATTCCAGAGGAAACGTATCTTGATGTCAAGTATGTCAGAGTTATCAATGTTTGTTTTTCCTGTTTAAAAAGTCCCACTGTAAAAGGAGATTCTTCCAATGATAAAAACAAAATGAGTTGAAAGAAAAAAAAACACATGAAGACTTACATCCACTGTATTAGTCCACTCCGGGTCTTAAAAGCACAGCAGCTCTGCAAAGGCAACTTCCCCCAGTATATTGTGTTGCATCTTATCATTACCAACCATCTAATTGTCATATTGGTTCCGGTCCGAATACTGATAGCACTGCGCCTCCTTTGTCAAAGTGGGCCAGCACTGTGCCGAGAGAGTATAGAAAGAGTGCTTTAAAAATTGCTGAGTGCCAGATTGAGTACAAATATTTCTGAACTTGGGTGTGTCTGTCTGTAAGAAAAAAAGCGAGGAAGTCTCCAATTTAAAAAATCTGCCACAAATTTCAGTCAGTAAGGGCCAACGAGTTCCAGGAGCAACTGTGGGAGGCAGCAGGTACTAAAATCCAGTTCACTCATAGCTGTTAAGTCACCCCAATCCACTGCAGTCAGAATCCTGTCTTCAAGCAAAAGATTCTGGTTTTAAAATCCGCTTTTTTTTTAGAAAACAAATAAAATTCTCAAATAGACAGGACGTGTGTTTTTTTTTTTGCGTGGGACGACGAGTTACAACACAAGTCGAGAAAAGAAAACAAAAAAAAGGCCATTTGCTGTACTGAAAAATGATAAATCTGTACAAGTCGAAATCACATTCCAAAAACAAAGCTGAATCACAAGAGCATGAGAGAACATTAGTACCGTCAGCTCACATCAATAACAGTGAGGGTACTTTCAGTGGCGTGGGCCTGAGAACCGAGGTTCTCCTTGTCCACCTCCTCTCCCAGCTCCTGGCCCAGGCTTCTGCGTCAGCCCTCCCCTGGACAGGCCGCCGCGGCCTTCCCGATCACGCATCATCCCTCCGCCAAGACCACCCCGGGGTCCGCCAGGTCCTCTTGGTCTATTGTCCCGGCGGTCGTCACCCCTGCGCTCCCCTTCACGGATGGGCCGGGTTTTCTTTTCCTCCACGTTTAAGCGGAGCTCTCCGCGGAATTTAATTGGCTGGAACCAAGAAAATAAAAACCCCAGGATCGTTAGCTTTGCCAAAAATGCGTCCGGGTTTTATTCGTGCAAAGACTGCCATCTGCTCAGATCAGTACCCAAGCAAGCAGAACACAGGTGCAGCGAGGAACGTGATTTCAGTGATGCAAGCCCTGGAACTGGCTCCTTGGTAGCGCTCTCGCTTCCGAATCAGAAGGTTGTGGGTTCAAGCCCCACGTCAGGATTTGGAATTGCATAATCTAACGTGAGACCCCTATGCAGAGATGCCGTCATTCAGACGAGACGTTAAGGTGGATGTCAGAGAATTTGAAAAGAGAAGTGAGTTTCTCCCAGTGTCCTGGCCAACACATGCCCCAAATAAAATTGGGTCAGTTACTCCAAGGCTGTTTGTGGGATATTGCAGTGCGTAACTGTTTGCAGCATTTCCCCCACAAAATAAACAATAATTCACTTTATAATATAACCCATGAAGCACTTTGAGACATCTCAATGATGTGTTAAGGTGCTACACTGAATACAAAGATTATTATTATTACCTTACTGCTCAAGATCTTCTGAACTGGCTCTGGATCATCAAACACCACAAAGCCAAAGTTGGGCAGTTTCCCTCCGCTACTTTTGGTATTAATACGGAGTTCCATAACATTGCCATAACCTAGATTTAAAAAAAACATTTTAATATGTTGGGGTGAAACAAAAGGTACAAAACACAAATGATATGCAATGTAAAACTCCCAGGAGTCAGTTTCTAACCTCAGTGTTCAGCAGACTGTTAAGAGGTACTCATGCTTTCCTCGACACTTGATATTACCTAAATGTCTTAGTTAGATTACAGACTCAAAATCACTTCATTTCCTGCATCATAAACATAGAAACAGGAGTAGGACCTACAGCTCTCCCCACCCCCAAGAGTGTTATGCCATTCTATAAGTTCATGGCTGATCTGTACCTCATTAAATTAGCTACCCTTACCCCATATCCCTTGATATCCTAACAAATATCCAATCACCCTGTGAATAGTTAGTGTGAATTTTCAATTACACCCAAGTACAATTAAACTGCTGTTAGACTTAACAAAACAAGCTGCCTCACAATGCGCGCATGCATGCACGTACGCTCACACACACGCACAAAAAAAACTGGAACGACAGGTTCAACCCACCTGAGAAAAACTCTTTCAGCTCACTCTCATCAATGTCATGAGGCAGGTTTCCAACAAACAACTGATGACTGTCTGGATATCGGATCGTGCGTCTGGGTTCCGTTTCACCTGGTTCATTTTCACTACGACCTGAAGTAAAATTAAAATCCTTTGTTTACACCCTTGCATATCGTTAAAACATTATGCAGGATAGCACCTTTATAACATGGGTTCACTATTATGCACTTCTGGCTTTCAGCATGGACTAGCCGCCCTCCCTGTGCTAAAAATGGCTGCTTTCTGGGTCACCAATGTCATTTCCTACGTTTGGTGTGCAGTCTGCAATCACAACTGATCTGAGATTCACACACGTAAATAGGCACTAGCCCCTGCATTTTAGATATTTACAAACGCATTCAAATTGTTTTTTTAAATATATACTCACTCACAGCTTTCAATAATACAAATGACACTAATCCTTGCATTTGATATAGTGCCTTATCGCATTTCGAGACGTCTCAAAGTACTACACAGGACATACTGCAAAGTGAACTGACTGTATATTTTGTGGGCGAAACGCGACAGGAATTGCGCACAGCAGTGTCCCACAAACAGTCGTGGATAGAGTGACCAAATTACAATTTTTTTTAATTACAGCATCATCTTAAACACGTTGGGGATGGATCTCTCACCTGGTCTGGGACCCCGTGGTGGCACTCCCTGCCGTTCTCTGATCCGCTGATCTCGAGGTCTCGGGGGTGGATTCTGTATTTCTGGCTTTGTCTCTGGTCTGGGCTAAAATACAATTTAATCACAATCTACTCTTTGCAAGTTACCGTATCCCTACAGTAAATCACAAAAACAATGAAATATTCAGTAGGAACAGCAAATATCATATACACATGCATAGAGAACATTGCCTGAAAAGCTGCTTAGTTCATACCCGAGGGGGACTTTATGAAGCAGGCTAGAGCCATAAAATAAGAATTTAAATTACTGAATTAGTGTGCATGTGTACGTGAGAAATGGCTTGAATTCCACTGGAATCAATCTGAGGCTAAAAATTAAATCATCAGTTCTACAGAGAGATCAGAGGTATAAAGCCGGTCCATTTCAGGCCAAAAAAAACCTTTCCAGAAAAGAAACATGGACTGCACACAGAAATATATATAAACAAGGTCAATTTATATTACTTAATTAACATACCGATTTTCACAATGGTGAGATGAGAGCAGGACCAAGTGTGCCTAGACATACATACAGACTAGCTAAATACATAGCCCTCTAAATTGTCAGCAGGTTAATCATTACCTGTGGTGTTGGGGCTTTGACCACATGAGGAGGAATTCCAGTGGTGGGGATAACGCCACTGGGTGGCAGATTCTTACTCGTGACTGAAGCCCAGGAGAACGTCTATGAAAAGACAATAGGTAATAAAAGATATGAACAGGACTAGACAATTCAGCGTGGTGTATCAGATCCTCCATTTTTAGACAATGGTTGATATGCAACTTAGTACCATGACTTACCCTTCCACTATATCTCATGATGCCTCTCGGCCTATCGTATATTCATTCAAAATATTTCAAATTTATCTAGTCAGAAACTCAGAACGAGGTTCTCCCTCTTAGATGCAGCAAGCATTTTTTGCTTCAGTTAGAATGTATAATATATTGAATAAGAGTCCTATGTTCAATACCGTACTCATTACATCAAATGATACAACAGCAGCAGGGTTAAGTCATCAACAACAACAAGATTACATTTGTATATTATATTGTAGTACATTATCAACAGTTAAGGGTATCAAAACCATTTACTTATTGGAAGATAAATCTACAGATCTTGTATTTTTCGAATGCCTCATCGCAACCACAGAACCTCTTAATGCAGTTCACAAATACTGTTACTCAAATAGTCACAACACTTCTTGACTTTTCTTAATCAGTTATTACTATTATTAATCAGGGCAACTTAAACCAAGTTGAAATATAAAGTGGACTGTGGAGCTACATAAAGTGAAAATGATCTTTCTCATACCCTGGAATCCTCTACTACTGGCGCTGGATCTGCAGGTGGAGGGGATGGAGATTTTAACACAGGCTCATCAGTAACATCTTCCTCCAGCACAGGCTCGGCTTTTACTTCCTCTACAGTTGGCTCCGGTTCTGCTTCTGATGGTGCAGCGTGTTCTTCTGAAGGCTCCTCAAGACCATTGCTGCAATAGGACAATTTGAGAAATTAGTACACCTCAAGACACATTCAAGTTGTCCATTCAATGCTGTTACCTTCATTAATCTAGTAGTACTAACGATGCATTTACTTTTTAAAAATGTTGGGACTGGTTAACTGGCTGCAAGGGTCCAGTCCAGTCCCGTAAATTCCCATACACTACTTTTTCAATATGAGCCAGCCAGGTGATTTTATATGAAACCTGCCTCTTTTCAGTACTAGATAGGGGGGAGGGGGAGAAAATACCTAGAAATGGGCAGAATGTTTCCTTTCTTAATTTCTCAACTGGATCTTCATCTATTGATTCCTCGTGCTCAATATCACCTCTTATCTCAATCACAATTTAGACATCTCTTCCACTTTAAGAAGCAGTTTCCTCTTTTGTGCTACGCTGCTTCCCTAAGCCTATGCCTAAGTGACATGGAAGATCTTCCAACTCTTGCAATCAGAAGGCACACGTAAAAGCCTAAAGAAAATGCTTCCTTCACAATCACAGCATTGCTTGGCTTCATTCACTCGTATATACTCTTTCCTCCTTCCTGCAATTCACTTGATGTTGAAATCAAGAACTATTGGACAATTTTCTACTCTAACTCATTCTGTCCCTGGGCCTCAAAACTGAATTCCTTACTTCCATTAGTTTATTCTACCTCCTGCCACTTTCATCACTATTCTTGTTTAATTTGCTCTTATCAACCTTTCAATCTCGGTGCTGCTACTGCAGGTCTTGGTCTTTCACCAGAGACTTTATTTGTGAAAAAAATTACAAATATTTACCTTACAGCCGGGTCATAGTAAGATCCACTGTCATCCTGCACAGCTTCTGGTGATGGTTGGCGCTCCTCATGTTCCTCTGCTTCCTCCTCAGACTCTGCAAAAAAGATTTTTTTTTAATCATGAAAATCTCCAGCAGAAATACAAACTTTAGAAAAAGTACAAGACCACAAAATAGGCTGATTTTATCTCCATTACCCTACATCTAAATAAGATTTCAAATACTGAACAGAATTAGCAAGCTAACTCGAGAAGATAAAAATTCAAACAGTGTAATAACACTGTGGTCTGAAATCAATGCCAGCCACATTGAAATTCTCTAGGAAAAGAATTTATGGAATAAATTGCTTCTGTGAACACAACAATAAAATCTCAAGCTCAATTTACCTTTTTAGCCTGCAGCTGGGAAATAGATGCAGTTGAGATCAATAATACCGCAGGAATTTCTGCTCTAGATCGCGGAACAAAGAAATGCCACCACCACAACATGTCCGAGTGTACTGAGATAGTTCACAAGTTAGAACCAAAGTCCAAAAGGGATGCTTTCTACTGGGCAAAACCGTGGGCAAGTTTCCTTACTCCACACAGAGCCTAATAATAATCCCTCCAAAACAAACAATAATAAATTGGTCATTTTCAATCCACGACTGTTTGTGGGACACTGCTGTGCGCAATTGGCTGCCGCGTTTCGCCCACAAATACACAGTCAATTTGCTTTACAGTATATTCTGTGGACGTTGAGAAGACTTGATAAGGCGCTATATCAAATGCAAGGATTATTATTATATTATTACATTGAGGAAAACTCCAAAGACAATGTTCCAGAATGCCAAGGAACATGGACTAATTCCACTGGTCTGTACAAAGGAATCATGGGGAAATATCCTTTACCTTGAAGCAAAATGCATCAGAACAAGCTGCCAGCCTATATGTTGAAGCTCAAAGATGTGTTCCAAGTTTGGTACAACTCTCAAAAACCTTCACAAGTCACCCAAACCCAGTCAAATATGAAGAAGTCAAATATATATGTAAACATGCCTTTGATGTGGTCACTTTGGATACTAGATTTGTTAATTTTTCAACAACATTTTAGTTTCCAAGGTTAAATTTGCATATACACGAGACATGAGGCAAGTGAATAATGTGGCTGCACTCCCTCATTTTCTGCTTACCTTCAGGTGGCTCTGTATCTGAGTCACCAAAGACTTCATCTTGGTAGCGGAAGATATCATTGTGGACATAAAACTTGTTTGCGACGGAGCCCTGTGAGAAAAAAGAAAAATAGTGAGAACAGGAAAACAAATGATCCCAATGATCATTAATAATCAGCTTTCCTCACTCAAAACAAACATTACTAGTTAAAAGCAGTTCCACAGTAGATATTTCTGAATTAAGAGGATAGAAAGTGAAAGTGAAAATTATCATGTGGTAACTAGAGAATAGTGAAATTGCCAAAATAACTAAACTGACCAGATCCGGTTCAAACTGTTTCTATTTCTACAGTGGGTAACAATTCTCCTTCAATTCAAATAGTGCTTAAATATAAAGCTGTAGAATAAATGTCAGGTAGTCATTTTAGGAGACTGTACTTTCTTCTGTATGCCAATTAAAATAGTTGATGCACTTCAAAAGAATCAAAGGGAACGGTATGATTTCAAGTATCATAATACCGAGCTCCCTTACCTCAGGTGCCAGGACAAACGTCTGCATGAAGCGTCTCATGGGTTGCCTGTTGTTGGAGAGCTCACCCATCACCTGCACTACTACTCCATCATTCAGCGTCGCATGAGCATCAACATGTCTGATCTTTGTGTGACAGTCACGGAACTGAAGGGACATAACCTTCTTGTGGATGTCCTGCAACAAAAATAGATTTTGAAATCAAATTCTAAGGCACAGAAGTTGATTGTCTGAATTTCCTGTGATCCATCAGCACCTTGGGACACCTTGTTTCCTGATCATACATACACCCGCACATATACATATTTCACCAGTCACTGGACAGGAGTCAGGATGAATCAGATCACCTGCAATTATGAATTATAAATTTATAAAACACTATCTTGTCTAAGATGAGTTAGCAGCACAGACCAGGAACTTTTTCCAATCTGTGTGCCTCAACACACCACAAACATGTTATGCTACACTGGATCTTTCCTCTTTGAAACAAAATTCTCAAACTGTGCTTATTGTTTTACAGATCAATTATGCTACAGGCATTTTAACATTTCTAATCATGTACAGCCTCTTCATATGGCATTTCACGTATCCAGTCCCAAGGAGCTCAATGGGGTTTATCTCTCATTACTTAATCCACATCTGCTGTTAAAGGTTAATGAATAGGTACAGGGCATTTGAAGGACATGTTACAGCAACTAGATGAGTATCCATAATGTTAACGGTATGACTGGACAAAGATAAAATGTTGCTCACAATAACAAACACTGATAGTAAAAAGCTACCAGAGTGTTATTTTGCAGTGACCAAAACAAATCCAAGGAATCAGAATCTGTTCAGCAGCAGGCTAATCAAGTAAAGGCACATTTAAGCTTCAGCATACAACTGACATGCTAAAGTTATCCTGAAACATATCCTCAAAGAAAATCTGGAGATTGGCTTGTCTGCCAGAGTATTTATAGCATAGAAAGTGCCACTCTGACAGAAAGGGTCTCAGTTTGGCATCAGAGCTCAACTTACAAAGAAGCTTATGAGTAGTAACTGATCCCATGTCCGCATTTAACATTCAACTACTGTACAAACAGCTGTGAATCATATACACTCACTCTTGTGTCCATTCAATTCAATTGTTTGCAGCTTGCATATACACTTCAATATGCATACGTTAGATACTTACCGCTTGCCCATACACTGCATCAGCTGGTTCTCCACTTGAATTCAAACCTCCATGAACATATGAAGAATTCTTTCCATAAAACCTACAACATAGAAATGTTTATGGAACACCCATTTTAAAAAGAAAAGAACATCAGAGAGAGGATTTGTCAAGTAGAATACCACTTTCCCTCCGTCACATATATTGCTTAAATTTATATTGTATGGTATTTCTCAAACTTTGGTAGCTACCGCATGAACAGCAATGTTCTTGTACATTATTGATCTATTGATGTGGTTTCAAGTGGGGAAAGAGAGGAACGAATGGCAATAAATGTGTCAACTCCAAACACATTATGCATTGAAATTGTGTTGAAAAGAACAGCAAGTTTCTTTCATTCATCTGAGATTCAGCGACAGTGACAGATCCAGTTTTCCTGCTCTGGTTACAAGTTCTGGTCTCAATATTATTTTCATTTCATATAACATTCGAACTTCCTATACTGCTGACAATATTACCTGCAAGAAGTCGCCACTTGAGAACGAACAAGATGTTCGCATCAATTCAGTCTTACTGCATTGTAATATTAAAAAAGCATATTGAAACTTTTCGAAACCCATGTAAAATGTCAATCGAACTAAAAAAATACAAAATGCCTACGCAAGTAACAAAATACAAAAGGAATATACACAATACCCCACTCACAATGGCATTAGTATTCTGAATGTATTGTGTATAATGGAAAAACAATTACTACCCGCAACTGAATTGGATGCCATATCCTCTACAAAGAAGAATTTATCATTTTGTAAAAATGTTAGTAGCTCCAGGGACAATCGTTCAGAAACCAATTCTTGTTGGTTATTCTGCTGAATTGTAAATTTTCATCAAGTATATGTAAGATGACATTACACTCAAAGCTCACATTCGTGTATACATCATCATAATAGAAATTTGACTAACAAATGTAATGTGTTAATTAGTATCATAGTAGCAAGTGTATTGATTTATAAACAGACTGTAATTTCAGTGAATACGTTTTCTCAAATTTCTAATTCTGCTGAGGTCCTTAAGGGAGCTCATTATAACTAAGTAAAATATATAACGGCCACAAAAAAGAGAATGATACTGTATAGAACCTCCTAAACACCGGAGATCCAGAATCCTGACTTACCTGTGTAAAAAGTCAGGGGCCTGGTTTAGCAGTGTGTAATACTGCCTCACAAATTCCCGCCCTACAAGCAGGGGACTTGGCTTCTCCATCACCATCTCTTTGGTCACCCGAGTTGCTGTAACAAACATTTTAAAAACACAAGAGTAAGTACATCGGTAAAATAAGTCATTCAACTTAAAACTGTAACGAAGAAAGCAAATGGCAGTACTCGGGCATCCAAAAAGTGCAACAAAGGTTCATAAAACTTGAAAATGTATTTTGATTTGATAACCCCCCCAAAAAATTCCAACTTTGATAACTTCAAATCTACTAAATCCTAACCACAGTACTGCCTCCATCCCCAGTAATTCTATATTTTATAAAAGGACTAAGTCGTGATGCAGTGAGAAAAACATTGACCTTTCACATTGGGACCTCAATAAGTCTAATAAGGTCTAATATTGACGTTAGGCCAGTTAATTGAAATTGGAAAGTCATGTTGTGATTGTGGTACTGGGGGGAAGGGGGAGGTAAAGAGAGCCACAGCATGAAACATCTTCCAATTTGGCACCAAATTAATATCAGTGATCAGCGGATATGGGAAACACTGACTGCATGTGGGACAGACATTGCTGTGGGCAAATTGGCTGCCACATTTACCTGCAAAATATACAACTCACTACACTTTACAGTAAAGCCTCTGTAATGGTTTGAGGTGTCCTCCTGACTTGAAAGGCACTATTATCAAATACAAGAATTATAATTGTTTTCCTCCCCCTGGATGCTGTAGAAAGCATCTCACTTCGTTGCACTCGAACCCATTTGGTCAAGGATACAAAACTGTCCGGTAACTTACCAACTAGTACCAGCCCAATCATGAGAGGGCTTTAATAGTTTAATGCACCATTTTCTAAGGTACTCCTTTTGTGGGATACAGCTAAACCAGCCATGCCTCCAGGTCAGGTGGAGTAACTGATGCAACAGTAAGCCCATTGTGTCTCATCGTAACGCCACACACACTGGGGGAAATGGGGGCTTGAACACACAGTTGTCATCTGTTCAAGCCTCTTCAATGTGGCAGTCTCAATAAAGCAGCTGTAATTTTTTTTAAAATTCTAACCAATAGCTCTATGAACGCAAGAACTACTAGTGGTAGTGGTGGTAGCATTGTCCCAGAAAGGTATGCTATTATTTGTAACACTAGCCATACAAAAAAACTCAACCCTATTTTATTTATAGGGATCTCTCCAGATTTACTGGTAGTTTTTCTTGGCATCCTCTTGTATAGCGGGTATGCTACTTTTTAAAAGTTTCACGTTACACCACAATTTCTTCACGTTCTACTGGAAAACCTTCATTTTTCTACTGAAGGCCTTGTTATGTCCGTACTGTAATCGGTGTGCAATACATTTTTCCTCAACAGTTCTTGGTACATGTCTCAATGATTATTCACTGAATATGTTAGGATTCAACACAGAGCTAGAATTACAATGTTACTGGAATTTCTAAACATTTGTAAAGCGCCTTCCAACGTCGGGGCGGGGGGACATCCCAAGGTGCTGCACAGTCAGGGATTAGGGCACGAGTGGGGGGGGGGGGGAGAGGGGAATAAGCATTCATTATGAGAGAGATGAACAGAACAGCCTATTCTATACAAATGTGTGCGAAAAGGTGTGTGTGGGGGGTGGATGACCTCAGTGGGTGGAGGGATGAGTAACAGCCCGAGGTGGGGGGGGGGCATGAATGACTTCGGAGTGTGTGTTTGTTGGGGGGTAGTCAGTGAGTGAGTATTTTGGGAGGGGGGGAGTAATGGAAGGGTCTCAGTGGGTGGGGCAATGAATGGTCTGGGGTGGGTGGGTGTGTGTGTTGGGGACGGGAGATAGCCACAGTGTGAGGGAGATAGAGAGAATATTCTAGATGCGGGGGGGGGAGGAATGGCCTCTCTGAGTGTATGTGGGGGGGGGAATTGGCCTACATGTGTTTGGTGGGTGTGAGTGTGTGTGTGGGGGGAGAAAGAGAACGGCCTCTGGTGGTGTGTGTGTGTGGGGGGGGGGTCTGGATGTGTGTGTGCGTGTGGAGGAGCGGGGGGGGGGGGGGTGGGGGTGTTGGTTGGGGTAAGGCCTGCGAGTGCGGGCACGTGGGGGAGAGGAGACGCGGCGAGAGGGCCGGGAACCCGGGCCTCTCCCTCCTTCCCTCCCTCCCTTCCCAACCAACAGTGGGACAAAGGCCCTGACGGGCGGGCGGGCGGACGGGCACACGCTGCTGGCGGGTGGGGGAGAAGCAGCTACCGGGGGGGGGAGGGAGGGGGGCACCGAGAGCCGCACGAGTGACGGAGAGAGAGAGAGAGAGAGGAGAGAGAGTGGGAACGAGAAGGGGTTCGTTCGAGAAGAGGGCCGTGGAGGAGGGGGGAGGGGGGAGGGAAGAACCTCATCCGAGACCGGAGAGGGAGGGGAGGGAGGGAGAGTGTGGAGGGGCCCCCGAGCAGGGGTGTGGGTCACGGCGTTACCCCCCCCCATTCCCCCCCCCCACACGCGCGCCCCCGCTTTTTACCCGCCTCAGCTCCTCGCTGGTCCCGGCGCCGCGGCTGCGTGACTGACTGACTGGACTGGGACTGGACGTGACTGACAGCAAAATGGCGGCTCGGGCCCAGCTTCAGCCTTCTCCCCCCCCCCCCGCCTCCACCCCACCCCCCCGCCCGCCCCCTCCCTCGCGCGCCAAACCCCTTTTACCCGCCCCTCCTCCCATCAGCTTTTCCCTCCGGCGGGTGGGCACTTACCGCAGGAATCCGGGGGCGGGATGGTGTGGGGGTGGGTGGGGGGAGAACCGACTGAGGTGAAGCAGTGACCGAGGAGGGGAGGGAGGGAGGGAGGGAAGGGGGGGGGGTTAACCACTCTGGGCTTCAATCAATCGGCCGCCGATAAACAAGGCGCGCGCGAGAGAGAGAGAGAGAGAGAGAGCGCGAGAGAGAGAGAGAAGGACCCGCCGCCTCGCGCACCCCAACCTGCTGCCTGGCCGCCGCTCTGACGGACAGCGGCCCCGGGCCAATCGGAGGCCGCCCCCGCCCCCGCTGGCGCGCGTCACGGGGCCGGACGGCCAACGGCCGGGCGGCGGCGGCGCGGGGGGGCGGGGCCACGACGCGCGCCCGCAGCACTTTAGATGGACCGGGAGGCCTCGAGGACCTGCTGGGGAGCGGCGGAGACCCCGTAGAGGGAGGGAGGGGGGGGAGGGACACACACACACGGCGGGGAGGGGGCGGGGCTAACTGGGATTGATGGACAGCTCCAGTGTGGGGAAAGGGGGAGGGTCTCGTGTTGGGAAGGGAAGGGGGGGGGAAGGGAGGCAGAGGGGGGCAAGGAGGGGGAGTTGGGGGACAACTGGAGTAGGGGGGAAGGGAGGGGCAGGGGGGGAGGTGGGGGAAGGGAGGGGGCAGGGGAGGTGGGGGACAAGGGGGGTGGGGGGCAGGGGGGAGGTGGGGTCAAGGGGGGGGGGGTCAAGGGGGGGGAGGTGGGGTCAAGGGGGCAGGGGGGGAGGTGGGGTCAAGGGGGAGGTGGGGGGGCAGGGGGGGAGGTGGGGTCAAGGGGGCAGGGGGGAGGTGGGGTCAAGGGGGGTAGGGGGGAGGGGGGGGGGGGGGGGGCAGGGGGGGAGGTGGGGTCAAGGGGGCAGGGGGGGGAGGTGGGGTCAAGGGGGGTAGGGGGGGAGGTGGGGTCAAGGGGGGGGTGGGGGTCAAGGGGGGGGGGAGGTGGGGTCAAGGGGGGGGAGGTGGGGTCAAGGGGGGTAGGGGGCAGGGGGGAGGTGGGTCAAGGGGGCGGGGGGGAGGTGGGGTCAAGGGGGGTAGGGGCAGGGGGGGTGGGGTCAAGGGGGTAGGGGGGGGGGTGGGTCAAGGGGGCAGGGGGGGGTCAAGGGGGGTAGGGGGAGGGGGGGAGGTGGGTCAAGGGGGCAGGGGTGAAGATAGGGGGAAAGGGGGGACGATAGGGAGCAAGGGGGGGGGGGGGGGGGGGGAAGGTAGGGAGGAGAGGGAAGGGGGGGGTGTGGGGGAGCAGGAGGGGAAGGGTGGGGGGTAAATGCTTCTCATGAAGGTGCTTTCAGGGGGTTTAAAAGTTTTTTTTAAAGTGTTTTTTTTTAAAAAAATAAAAACTCGGGAGATCTTTTTTCTCCGCGGTGGGTTTTTTTTTGGGGGGGGATTTAAAATAAACAACCCCCCCACCCACCCAAAAAAAAAGTTTTCCGCGCTGTATCGTCGTCTGCTCGGAAGCAAGCTTCGCGCTCGACGTTGGCGTTTGCCCGTCGCGCGGCCGAGGACCCGCGTCGCGCGACGTTGAGCCCGTACGGTCCAGGCTCACGCCGTCCCTGGTGGAGCTCCATCCCGCAACCCCTTCGCTTCGCTCCGCTCCCTCTTTTGCCTCCTTCGAGGCACGACTCGAGACCCTACTTTTTGACCGCGCCTTCAGCCGCCCTCCAACCCTCATTCCCAACCCTGCCCCCCCCCCCCCCCCCACCCCCCCACTGCGCTCCGGTCCTGATCTCCGACTATTCAGCGCCTTAGGAACGTCCTCCCGACATGAAACACCGTGTGTCCTTCACAGTGTGTTCTGCGAAGCGCGTTGAGACGTCTCAATAAGGCGCTATATCAAACGCAGGCATTATTACTCAGTGCTTTGAGGGTGTTGGGATTTTCTGGGCACTATTGGAATACGAGGCTTATTATTTGATGAAGCATAAAACAAGCGGATGTCTGACTTCTGATTCTGCTCTCCCAAAAAAAAAAAGAGTTACCAATCCTTTTTTGGATTACCGGGACATTTCCTCACTTCACAGATGGTTTTAACAGGACATTGGAACGATTTTAAAACAATAAAACTCAACATCCAGCCACATATCGCTGCTACATTGCCGCTTAAATCTTTCAACGTACTTTAAACTAACTACATCTTGCCTTGTTGCAAATGCAAGAAGATCGATCCCTCGTGCAGATCGAGAGGTTAATAAAAAATCAGTTAGTGTGCATTCGGTGCTTCGTGATGAATACTAAAGAACAGGCCGCAGATTTGCCCAAATCAGAAATCAGATTAGCAGGACTACCAGAGAAGATGTGGGTCCAATAATGGGGTCCAATCTGTGAGATTTGCAGATGAGTTTGAATATTGCAGCTCCTGAGTGTGTTTTGCGATCGACCTTCTGGGGTACCACTTGGATCCTGACTTAAGATGACTTGAAAGAGATTGGCGTTCCATCGGAGTTTCACAGGCGCCTGTAACATATTCATCAGAGTTTCACAGGCTTGAAGTTATTACCGCGTTAACAAATTCGCTCGCTCAGTTTGCACAATACTCTCTTGTGGAAGACAGAAACGTAGCTAGCATTTAAGAAATGATACGCCCTTTAATAAATTAATAAGCAATCGAGAGCTGTTTAAAACTAAGATGTTGCCCCAGGTCAGTAACTCAGCTTTGGTTACAGTTACTATGGCGACAACAATAATAATCAATTAATGACCCGTAACCTGAGGTTTTCGGATCATATATCCTCGTCATCAGATTTACTTGATTCACTAGATGTCTGAGTATGGGGAGCGCTTACCACCTGGAGGCTTTGAGGAAACAGCATGTTCTTGACAGGAAATCTGCGATCCTCGCAGACAAAGTAAGAAGGGGCCTTGGAATCTTAAAAGACAATGTGAATTCAAGTCAAAAATGGAGGGACAACTCTGCGCAATCCTAGACAGATCCAAGCTGTATTCGTGTTAAACTAGTTTAGATTAAAGGATTGTGGATATACTGAAGAATGCCATTACACTCCCAAGCTTACATAGATAAACTATCTACAGTGACAGTTGAAGAAAGTACGTACTGTAATTCCAATTGATGTTGATGCACTATATGGATGAATGAGGCAGTGAATGAAGACCTTTGGTTTGATCGGAGCCTTGACAGCACCGGCGGTGATGTGGAATGAGATAGAGCAATCAAACAAACACTCTACGACTAAGAACGCACAATGTGTGCATGCCCTGCAAGTCATTAGCCCCATTGGATCTGATGTATGAAGAAATACTAGTAGCATTGCATATATTGCAATTGGAAACAAGTATTGAAAAGCGTATCCATTATGTCATTTCGATCTGAAAATAGATGAAAATCTGTCAAAAAGATACAGGAGGGAGGAATTGGGATTTGAGTTTTACACTCAAAGCAAACTTTTCGAGTTCACGTGCCAAGTGATTCCATAGACAATCCCAACCCTGCGATCTTTGCAACAGTCATGATAGATTAATATTAATATTTAAGGCTTAATATAACTGAAGTCTTCCAACATCTAAGTCAAATGGGCATTCTTGTCTGGACAGTGAAGTTGAAAGGCATTATGCATTGTGTTGAGTTCAATCTTCTTTTCAGTTAAGATTATAATTCACTCCTTCAAGGCTGTTGATGGGATTTGCAGGGCACAAACTGCCTGCCGCGTTTGACTAAAAATACAGTCGTTACACCTGAGAGCAATTACCTGTGAGACAGTTCGAAACATTCAGTGGAGCTGTACCAATGCAATGGTTATTATTAATTAGCTGCTTTGCAAATCGGTCGTCAGTTTACTCCTAAAATCTGGTTTTGGAATATCAAAAACTGGAACCTAGCGTGCCTTTATATTCAATGAGATCTCATTTGTATGTGTGTGTTTGTATAAGTATGTATTCTGTGTACACAGAAGGAATAGTCTATGCACCAGGTCATTATTACTCCACTATATAAACGCGGGTTGTTGTGTCTGGTATAAAGAAGAAATCTGCTTTTGGCCTGGGATTTCGTTATGCGTTCCAATAGCTTTTTTCTCATTCCACTTATCTTCTTCTGAAAGAAACGTCTAGAGCATGCCTTCAGAACTAGAAAACAAAGCCCCTCTCATGGTTTGGAGGAAATTAGTCAGAGGTCTTCAGATCACAAGCTCCCAAACTCTTCAAAGATGCAACAATTCAAGAAGCCTGAAACCATTAATCCTGTTGAAGAGTCAGAAAGGTAAGAGAACAAAGAAGATGAAGGGATAAAATGGTGGAAGTAATTGATCCAATGATCCGATGTTAACGTGAACAGCGCATTTTAAACCTCTTAATCTCATTTAAGTTTCTCATGTTTGTAAATCTTCTCTGTCTATGTAGAGATTTTGCAACAGCTGCCTTCACGGAAGGGTTTCCAATGGATCCACCGGAATATCAGCCGTACAGGTTACACCACCTCAGGAAGCAAGCGAAAATCCTCAGGGATCATGGCTTGGTAATGGGAGAATGGCCGAAATTCAAATAATTTACGAGATTGACTCCCTCACTTCTTACTCGAGACAACACCCCACTCTGATCAAAACAGCCGTTCAACTTCCATCTCGGAAATCTTTCGCACGAAAACAAAGAAATAACAGGACATAGCAGGACTGGAAAAGCACCTCCTCCCTGTGATCTCAAATAACCCTTTCTGCAGCTAGACTTTTTTTGTTGAAAATAAGTTATTTGGATGGCTCAAGAACACACAGGGAAGAAATTTTACCCACGTCTAGATTTAGTCTGTCTTCTTAGCATTTCAGAGCATCCAGAACTTGGCAAAGCCTTCATCGGTTTTTAACTAAGTTTATTTTAAGAACTAATGCAAATCGACTTCTCCTTTAAGATCGAATTCAAAAGTTTGTC